TTCATTTGACCAGAGAGAGAGAAAGTGAGAAAGCAAGTCGCCAGGCCCAGGACTTGAACCATGGTCAGCCACATGGGAGTGTCCAGTGCCCTAACCACTACACCACCTGCTGGTCTCTATGGTTTAGTTTATAGCGCTTGGGTGGGCAAGCCTGATTTGAGTTTGGTCACGAAGGGGTGACAATGGCTTGGCCATCCCTGCCCCTCCCCCCCCGGTTCCCAATCTCTCTTTCTGTCTCTCTGCCTATCTCTGTCCCTTCTCCTATAGCAAAAATCGAAATAAAAACAAGAGCTCACAGATATGCACCTGGGTTGAGAGAGTTGTTTTTTCTTTTTCCAAGAATTATTTTATTTAACTTTATAATTTGACCAGAGAGAGACAGAACGAGCGAGTAAGCGAGAAAGCAAACTACCAGGCCTGGGACTTGAACTACTGTCGGCCATGTGGGAGTCCTACGTCCTCAACCACCACGCAGCCTGCCTGCCCTAAGTTTTGTTTTCTTTTGTTTTGTTTAGTATTACTTCTTGGGACCACCAGTTGGCATAACGGATATGTCGCCAGACTCCCATGTAGTCAAATGCGATTCGAGTCCCAGACGCGGTGGCTTAAACTCACACCGGACACGTGTGCATGTGTGCCCAAGATCTCAAGAGGAGAATGGAGGAGAAGGGATTGTGGTATGGCCATGCCCCCTGGCGGGTAATTTCTCACTTTCTGTCTCTCTGTCTTTATGGTGAGCACACGCGCCCTATAGGAAAAACCTCTTCAAAAAAAAAAAAAAATTACTTATTTATTGACTCCATTCATTTCTTTAATTTGACCAGAGAGAGGCGGGGGTTGGGGGAGGAGAGTTAGAAAGCAAGCTACCAGGCCCAGGCTTACGAACTGTGTTTGGCCAGGTGGGAGTGTCCAGCGGTCTAACCAACACGCCACCTGCAGGTCCTATCCCACAGATAGTTTCTACCACAGGGAGTTTTCCATATGAAGTTTTCTTTAAGATGTGGACGAGGGGGACTAGCAGGTGATATGGTGGTAGGGGTGGTGGAATCCCACATGACTAATCATGGTTCAAGTCTTGAACCTGGCAGCTTGCTTTCACATTCTTCCTCTCTTTGGTCAAACTGAACAATAATAAATGGGGAAAAAAAAAAGATGCGGAGGAGGATTTGTCAGTGATGACACACAGGACAGAAGACTCACCTCTAATGTTGTAGTTTTGAAAAAGGGTAATGAATTACTACATTACAAAATACTATTTATATAATTTTAAAAATTTTTGGAGAGGTTTTTGCCATATGGCATGTGCACTAGCCAGAAAGACAGAGACAGAAAGTGAGAAATCACCCTCCACGGGGGATGGCCACGCCACAATCCCTTCTCCTCCATTCTCCTCTACAGGATCTTGGGCACGCACGCACACACGCCTACCACCGGGTCCAGGACTCAAACTGCGGTCGACTACATGGAAGTCCAGCAACATAGCCATTACACCAACTGCTAGCCCCTATAATTAAAATATTTTTAAAGTAGGAGCTGGTAAGTGCAGTGGACTCCCACATGACTGACCGCAGTTCAAGTCTTAGACCTGGTGGCTCACTTTCTCCCTTCCCCTCACTCTGTCCCTCTCTGGTCACATTAAAAACAAATACAAAGGGGCCCAGCAGAGTGCTGGACTCCCCCATGGCCGACCGTGGTACAGGTCCCGGACCTGGTGGCTTATTTTCTCACTTTCACTCTCTCTTTCTCTTGCTCTGGCCCTTCTCTGGTCGAAATTAAATAAATAAATAAAGTTAAATAATTTTTAAAAATCTTAAAAATATTCTTGCCGTCTCTGCTCCACATATATATTCTTTTTTGAGAGAGATTTTGTTTTAGGGCGCGCATGGTCACTGGAGAGAAGAAATGGAGAAATCACCCCGCGGGGGACGCCACGCCACAGTGCAGCCTCCTCCATTCTCCTCTTGGGCTCTTGGGTGCGCACGCACGCTGCATCCGGTGTGAGTTTCAAGTTGCTGGGTCCAGGACTCACACAGCCTTGACTACATGGGAGTCCAGTGATGTAACCTTTACACCGTCCGCTGGCTCTCCCCGAACCCCTTTTTTTCTTAAGAATTATTACTGGGGGGGGGGGGGTAGCAGCTGGCGTGGTGTTTAAGGACGCCGGACTCCCATATGGCCAACCGCGGTTTGAGTCCTGGACCTGGCGGCTTGCTTTCTCACTTTCTCTCTCTCTCTCCCTGTCCCTCTCTGGCCAAATTAAAATAAAGAAAGCTAAATAAAATAATTCTTAACAAAAGAATGCATGTAGGGAACACGTCGAGAGACTGGGTCTCTCCAGCATGAGCGGCCCTCCTCTGCACTCTGCGGGCCTGTGGCTGGGGGGCGAGCCTGCTTTGAGGGGGGTGGCAGCACTGAGAAGGCACACACAAGGCAGGTGTGATTTCTCCAGCCACCAGGCAGCCACGTGGCACTGCAGCGCCTTCACCCCTGGCCACCCGGCCCCATCCAACAGCTCCTGTCTGTGAAGGCAGCCGTCTGGCACACGCTGGCGGCAAGCACGGGAATGGGGGCCTACGGGAGCCAGGGCCCCCCCAGCTTGTCTCCTGGAAGCATCATTTCACTCCTCTATCGACTCATGCTCACGCACGGAATAAACCCCCAGGTCCCCACTGCGGTCTGCACGGCCCAGCCTCCCTCTCCAACCTGGTGGTCTCTCCCCAGCGCCTTCGGCTCTGGCCACCCTGGAGTTCGCTCTTCCCCCAGGCAGTGCGTCAGCGCCCCTCGGAGGAGGCTGGGGTATCCCGTACTCTCTCCTTGGTGTGTTTCTGACTTACACAGTGAACTCACACAGGGATGTTACCTCAGCCACTATTTACCCAGCATCTAGCAAAAGGCTTGGCCCACGGTGAGACTCAGTAAACATTTACTGAGTGAATGAATACCCACTTGATCTGGGTCTTAAGATGTGGAAGGGCAGCAGGTGGAGTGATAAAGGTGTTGGATTCCCACGTGGCCCGCTGTGATGTGAGGCCTAGACCTGGCAGCCTGAAAATCCCAGACCTGGGACACGCAGGTGGTGGTGGCGATGTCACTGGGCTTCCACAATTTGAGTCTCGACCCTGCGGCTTCATGCTTGGTGTGTGTCTGTGCGAGGCTGCCCAAGCTCCCAAGAAGAGAATGGAGAAGGGGTGGCAGTGTGGCCATAGCCCTGGGGAGGGTTTCTTGCTTTGTGTGTCTCTCCTGCGAACATAGGTGCCCTATAACAAAAATCTCTCTGAAAAAAAGGAAATCACACAGGGCACCTCTAGATTTCTAGAGAGAATGGATTGCCATGCCCGTGGGAAGGGGTGATTGCCCACTCCCCGTCTCTCTAGCAAGTGCATGCACTCTGGCAAAACAAAACGAAGACGTGGGGCCGGCAGGTGGTGTGGTGGTTAAGGCACTGGACTCCCACATGGCCAACCGTGGTTCGAGTCTGGACCTGGTGGCTTGCTTTCTCACTTTCCCTCTCTCTTGCTCTGGACAGAAAGAGTATGAGCTTGTCAACTATAAAATGTTTTGCGCACCCCATGGAGGAGGAAGGGCGCAGAGGCAGGGCAGTAAGGCTAGGGAGAAGGCGGGTGCCCGACGGGACTGGCCTCCCGGGCAGTGCGGGGCCGACACGGGGCCGTCCTGGGGCTATCTGTGGTTCGCCCTGTTACTGTAAACCCCGCAACCCCGGGAGGCAGGCCTGGCCCACACACCTGCAGAACTGAGTCAAAGCCGCCCACCGAGCACGCGCTGGCGCCCAGCCAAAGCTAAGGACGGCGCCGGCTTTGGACCCGGAGCGGAATCCGAGCGGAGGTCCGCACTCGCCTCTCCCAGGAGCGTCGCTGAACGACTCCACGACCGCAACGCGCGGGCAAGCGGCTGGGAGCCCGCGACGCCGCGCACGGCTTGGCCCTGCTCCTGCACAGCTCGCCTGCTGTCGCCGGGCCCTCGCCCAGCTCCCC